ATGTTCTGTTGCAGATTTCCTTCCTCTTCTTTGGTTTTAGGAAATAGTGTTTTTGTATCTCATTTAGGCAGAAATCTTAACAACACTTTTTGCAAAATGTCATATCTTTTTAAAAGCACAGTTTAAAACCTAGCCCTTTCCCTGTTCTCCTTCTGATGCATTTAACAACTCCTGCATGTAGTGATCAGAAGTGGGTTTTGATTTGATTAAAAGGAAGAGGATTTTTTTTTTTGCGCTCTACTCTATTAATTGATATCAGAGCCACAGTTTAAAATATTAATATTCTGCAGTATTTCTGTAGATTGCATCATTTTCAGCGTTTCATAACTATATGGATCTTGTAATTTGAAACAGATAACAATAATGCTGTCTGTTTTAGGCTAACCATGATTTCCTTGTCATTAAGCGGTCTGTTAGCTCGTGGGGTGGGGCAGGAGGGAGGGGTTTTATCTGGAGGAGTTAGAGATCATATGATGCAGTTGAACAAGACTTTTTCTTCACTTGAAATCTGCAGCACTGGTTTTGGTTTGGATATGAAATGATTGGTTAGTTTCAAACTCTTCATCATTTCCAGATGTTTTTAATAAAGTGCCCAGAACTGTCGAATCTGTAGCCAGTGGATGTAGTTGCTGATTGTTTCTGTTCTCCATTTTGAGTAACTCTCATGAAAGGAGAGCAGATAAAGAGAAAATTACTAGCTCATTTGTTTTCTCTCTGTCTTTTCCACTGATAGTGCCATGCATTTGTGGTTGTATTCCTCAGCATGTATACAGTGTCTATTGCCTGGGTGTACGCATGTGACTACGTGTGTCCAGGGACTGCCTGCAGGTGTTAAAAATAAACAAACAAAAGATACCAGGATACCATTGCTTTTCTTTGACTCAGCAGGAGCCTGTTTCCTGCATCTTCCTTCTGCGTGTGTATGTAAGGAGATTGGGATGTCTGGGAAATGAGATTTCCAGCCTGTGGCTACGTAGCAAAAGCCCCACCTAAAATGGAAGGAGACTGACCGTCTCTCACGTGAGCGCGCGCCTGGCAGATAATTTTGTGTGTGTTTTACAACGTGAAGTTTGTTGACCACAGAACCTGGGAGGAAAAACCCTGGAGAAGGGGCAGGAGCGTTTGTAGCCACCGCCAGGAGCAACGTAGGGAGCTTCAATTTAAAAAAAAAAAAAAAAATCTGTAAAAGAGTTGGTCACTTCACTGTGCATGTGAGAGGGGAGCTCTAAGGGATTCGTTGGTGACCCTGCCACTGAGTTCCAGAGCCTATGAGATCAAAGCATGTTAATCCTGAATGGAGTTCCGGTAGTCACCTCACTTCACAGAGCTAACAAGATGAATAGATAGATATTGATCCTTTCCTTGCTCTTCTTCCTCCTGGTATAGAAAGTACCTGCCTGGGTCTCCTCTAGTTTTTGTCCCCGGCTAGAGGTCATTGTCACTTTCTAGCCTTTAGAAAAGGTGAAGTGGCTGCTTCTAGCCTATGCTACAAATGGAGTTGCCCCCTTTAGAGGTTTGTCTTATCACATATTTCTGCCCAGAATCCACCACCATGGGGGGAGGGATAGCTCAGTGGTTTGAGCATTGGCCTGCTAAACCCAGGGTTGTGAGTTCAATCCTTGAGGGGGCCACTTAGGGGATCTGGGGCAAAATCAGTACTTGGTCCTGCTAGTGAAGGCAGGGGGCTGGACTCGATGACCCTTCAGGGTCCCTTCCAGTTCTATGAGATAGGTATATCTCCATATTATAATTAACACGGATTGGCCTGTTCATTTGTCTCATTTGGAGGCCAAGGACCGAGTGAGCCATAATCACTGAACTTCTCTCTCATCATTAAAAGACTATAACAGGGTTCAAAAAAGAACTAGATAAATTCATGGAGGATAGGTCCATCAATGACTATTAGCCAGGATGCGCAGGGATGGTGTCCCCGTTTGCCAGAGGCTGGTAGTGGGTAGCAGGGGTTGGATCACTTGGTGATTTTCTGTTCATTCCTTCTGGGGTGCACCTGGCATCGGAAGACAGGATACTGGGCCGGATGGACCTTTGATCTGAGCCAGTATGGCCATTCTTATGCCCAGTAGCTCAAAGGTGAGATACATTATCTGAGGCAGTCTGAAGGAGCTTGTACAGCCGCTGCATGGGTCAGACATGCTCTGTAAAGGAAGAGAAGACTTATGTGTCTCAGTGTCTCAAGAACCTGTCACCAGGAAGTTCAGTTTAAAAAAAAATCACTAAGTTCACTTGAAAACAATTGAAGAAAACGCCAAATGTATGAATTGTAGATGCTGTTTGCTACACTCCATTGGATTAGAGCATCATCCCGTCACACTGCTCATCACAGCTTTCCTTATCTGAAATAACTTGAGTTTGAGGAAATCCCTGCCTTATATGGCAGAGCCTGAAGAGCTGTCACAGACATTTGTGATTTCTTATCTCTATGACTGCATGACTGCTGGGAATTCATCACTGGATGAAACTGGTGACTCCTGAAAGTCCCTGTTTACTGTATTGTCATATTTGGGGTATGTCCTAATACCGAAAGCAGAAGCTGCGTTCACTAACAGAGAGAAAAGATTCCGGGACTGATCTTAGGAGCCAGTGGATGGTGCTATCTGAAAGATTCAGGTATGGGAACCTCCTTAGTCTAGTTGGGTGAGTTGTGGAGGTGATGTTATAGGTTGTGAGGGAGAGTTCGGAACTGCTCCAGGCTGTGGAAAGCTGAAACAAGAGGTGGGGGCTGGAGATGTCAAAGGAGATCCAGACACTTTCATCTTCCTAGTGGTAGCTGGTACCGAGCCACTCTGACGTGTTGAATGAAACTTCTAGTCTTCTGAGCTTGCATGGTGAGTGTACTGGTTGTGGTGGTTGAGCCGATGGCTTCAGAATAGCCAGATTGGGGTGGCATTTGCAAGGCAGCTCAAAATAATAATTTACATTTTTGGACCATATTTCATCTCAGTGTTTTACAAACTCTTTGCCTATGAGAATCAGTTTGCCCACCAGCGAGAGGCAGATCCTCTGGGGCAGAAGCCAGCGACATGCCCCAGCAGACTTGACAACATTCGGAAGAGAGGAACTTGAGCTGTAGCAGACTCCTGCACTTGCAGAAGGGTGAGAAGAGCTCTCACATGTGGGCTCAGAGCAGATGGGACCTCTGATTTTAAAGATGCTTCTGAAAGATCCTCATGCATTGATATGGGTGAAGCTCACTTTTCATCTATTTTGGAAGGATGCAGGGTTGAGTAGTCCCTGCCAGAATTTGAGCTTGCGGTTACAAGTAGCCTTGAACAACTAATGGGACTTAGACCACTGAGTCATTGCCTCTGGGACTGTATCAACAGCCTCAGAAATCCTCAACTATGTGCATTAATAGAGTGAATCCCTGTCCTGGGAGATTGACCAATTTCATGGGCCTCATGAAGAACGTCTTTCCATATCTGTAATGGAAGGTTGATTTGATATTGCCATTACATAAAGTTCTTATTTTTCCCTTTGTGATGCAGTCTTAAAAGCTCCCTTAATTCCCATCTTCCTCTCTAGCAACAGCAGTGAGTTCTTCTGCTCTGTAAAAATCTCTGCATTTTGCAACTTAAAGTAAAGAAAGCCTTTTTCCTTTTCTCTTCTGTCTCTGTTCCTCTTCCCTTTTAAGCAATGAGTGAGAGAATGTCTAAAGCCAGGGAAGTATGGAAACATTTCGTCCCATGAGAGGTCAGGGTGGGGTGGAAGCTGAAGGAGGCTCTGAGAGGGCTGAATCAGTTTGAAAACAGGAAACCATGTGGCAGTGTGAAATGAGGGCCCAGCTGATGTGAATGAGCCATTGAGAGGAAGGGAGACTCGCTGGCTAGACCAGCATTAGAGAGACTTAAAAACTTTGTTTAAACACACTGCTTTTCAGATTAAAACAAATGAGAGAGAATTGTATTTTTTTTATCTGGTAAATATTATAACAAGCTGCTGAAGCCTTTTGCTTCTCCTGCTGTGCGCTGCAGACAGAGCAAGCACCGAAAATGGCTGGTTTCCTTTTTTTCACACATTAAATCACAAGTTTCCATTCCTGTTTTTGAGAAGCTGTACGCCTGAAACTGTCTCTTTTCATTCACCTGAGGCAAGGATCGGGAGAAGGGCTGTCTTTTCTCCTGATCCTTTTCTTTAAGATGCACACTTTTACTCTTCTTCATCTCTTTCCATTAACCAAGTCCACCAAGAGGCTGCATCTTGAGGTGAAAGAAATAGGGTGAAAAAGAAAACCCTGTTGTTCCCCTGCTTTTTCTCTCTACAAAAAAGATGAATCATGTTCCCACAACTGCAATTACATTTTCAAGACTCAAAGAACGCTGGTACAGCACTAAAAAGGCAAGCAGTGACGTTCCAGCTGAAATTAAGAGGGAGTGGCTTTATTTTATTTATTTTTTTTCCCCTTTTACCCTGTGCTGTCATTAGAAATTTAAACTTATTCAAGACCATTCCCTCTTGCCTGGTTAACAGTGGACTTACTTGAAAGGAGGAAAGTGTTTTTTGTTGTTGTTTTGCTTTTCCATCTTTAAACAGTGGAAGAAAAAGTCTATCAGCAACAGTATTGTCTTTGGATTTGAGGGCCAGACTCTTTTCTTCTTTGAATTAGACACGTTGTGTTTGAGTCTAGCCTAGGTATTTTTTTTTCTTTCTCTTGGTATGTTACACAGTTCCAGTTGCATGCATCTGGCTTTTGTTCTCGCTCTCTTTCCAGAATTTAATTTTGGTGCTTGTCTGCCATTAATATTGGCTAGAAAACTTTTTTTATCAAATGTAGCAGGAATACTGGTGCCATCCTTACCACTTAATATTATTTTTAATTTTCATATTTAGAATAATCTCTCTAAACATATCTGTCTTGTTTGCTATAAATTCCTACGTCATCTGCATAAGTGACCCTGTGTTCTAAGAAGACTTTTATCAAACAGTCACAGCTCTGGGATTTTCTTTTTCCTGTTAAGAGAATTGGAGAGGCTGATGTGATTCAAAGAACGCTGAGATGCAGGGGCTTCTCTGAGCACATATGTGAGAGATTTGGACTGTACGCCTTACCGAGTTTATCCTGGAGTTAATGGTGGGCTCTGCTCCTTGCATTTTACCTCTGTTTTCCCTTTTTTGGACAAAATGTATGAACGACACAAGAGGCGGTACAGCCTGTGTGACATTTCCAAGGTGGACAGGACTGTAGATGTTGTGTTGTTAAAGGTACAGTATTGTTTGTTTACACTTCCTATTCATTAGTACTGCTTACTCATCTTGGATTCATTCATCTATTCCCTGCTGTAAATGCACCCCAGACAACCAGATTTCTTGTGCCTCCTTTGAAAGGGGGAGCAGGTGGGAGGCAGCTATCAGGAGGTGACTGTGCAGCTTTTAGATCTCGAGTATTTATTAAAATTATATAACATCAAATGATTTTGTTCTTGCTATGACCGATACTTTGAGTGGTGATAGAGACATACTGTTAAATATGTGTTTTTCAAGTGTTCTGGCTGGCTGTCTTTTCTCCTCTATCGAAATCATCAGTGGGGTACTGCAAAGATTTTGCAAACTTCCCAAGGAGATGTGTTGAGCCTTCCTGTATTAAGTTGCTTTTGAACTAAAGATGTTTTTACCCACTGGTCCTCTGCACTTCACCTGGAAGACACTGGGTTCAGCCCAAAAAGGCATGGTAGGTTTTTTGTCAGTGCTGCATGGCTCTGGCTGTTGGTTCTGTATAAAGCTTTTCTATTTTGGCGGAGAGGGAGAGGGGTTGTTTTTGTTTGTTTAAATGTTTGTCTTAAAATGGGTGGAGGAAAGCCTCAAATGCCTCTTGGCTAATTGTCCAGGGCTCTCTCCTCCAATCTAAAATTAGTAAGTACTCCACCAAACGGTATGGTGACAGTCTGGGAATGTTCTGTCACCGTAATAGCTCGGCTTGGAGCTTGAACGGTTTCCTGGCACAGCGGATGGAAATGGGAAGGCAGCCCAAGTAACTTCATAACACTGCCTGACTTTGATATCTTAACTCATGGAGGAGAGTCACCTTTTTGAAACTGAAGGCGGTGGGGTGCTGGATGGGTAGGTGTCTCCTGCTGCATGGTTGCGTGGGTAATTTTTTTAGTCACACTTTATGGCTCCTAGAGTCTTTTTTTCCTTTTTGTATGTCAGAGGTGAAGATGGAAAAACTACATTTTTTTTTCAATCCAGAATTATAAGCAGTGTAGTTATTTTTTCCGGGATATGTCTTCCCAAACGATTCCCTGACCCATCCCACCTGCACTAAGATCAGCCTGGCACTTGCCAACTCGCATTCACTTATAGAGGATTATTATTTTTGGCTCCCACTTAATATGTTCTTCCCCCACCCCCAAAAAACCTTTGCTGGATTTCTTGCCATATTGGATTTGGTGAATTGTTTTCTTATACTATCTTTCCTTAAGCTGATTACAAGAAACTGGAAGCCCCTGCAATGCAATCTCTAGACACCCCTCTGAGTCATAGACAAAATAAATGTGCAGACACGTTATACAAACAGTGCTTTAGCTGTGGTGTTGAATGGTCCCCTACAATAGACAGGAAGCATTGTTACCCCCTGACAGAGTCAACTGTTTACATAAAAAGCAGTCTTTTTGGAAGCTGTGTTTGTCTGCCTAGACTGAACTGTTATTTGCTATGATTATAGTGAATTAGTATTTCTGAAGTCATCAGTTCCCTAGCTTAATTTTTGTTAAGTAAAATTTAGAATTTATAACAAAATATGGTTCTTGTGAAATCACCCTAATATTTTTCCAATCGGCTTCCAACACTGGATGATACTGATTGGTCCTGAAAATAACTCAGTGTGTGTGTGTGGATGCTGTGCTAATTCAGGGAACATAGAGACACAAACAACTGGGAATTACAGTAACATTTACCTTGTATTTTAGTGCCTCATGTTTTAATCTGTAATCTATAACACAATTTGGATTTTGGTTTGGGTGGGACACTGTTTCCTTAGCCTCAAGTGTCCAAAGGTCAGATATCAAAAGATAAATTAAAGCAAGCAAGCAAACAAAAATACCCTTCAGTAATAAGTCTGCCTCTGAAATCATGGTGAAGTAGATAATAAGAAAGCGAGTAGCTTTTATGTTGGTGCATTGATTTGATTCTCAAAGGACTCGTGAATCAAGGGCTGTCAGTAATGCATTGGTGTGCCCTTACCCCTGTATTTTTTTTAGGTAGGTGATCTCGGTGACATCAGAAGTAAAAACAGCTGGTAGGGGAATATCACTGGGATAAGCTCTGAACATAGGAGAACTAATGCTGTTTTAGCTGCAGAATATAAATGATGTTGCATTTGCATTGGTTACACCACTTGTAGGTAAAGTTGCAAAATAATTTCAGTTCTAACTGATTATTTTTATATGCTCATAACTTTCCTAAGGATTCAACTTTGGAGCTGAATGTTTTCATGTTTAGACTGCCTGAAGCTGTTTTTTTGGAAAGTTTGAATCAATACTCATCAGCCATTTTGAGGTTGAGAGGATAAAAATAATTTCCCCCTCTGTTTTAAAAAATAATCATCTGACCTCCTTTTTCTAGGAGCAACTCAAAAATTCCTAGCATTTGAAATTTGGGAGCAAAACCTCTTCCCTACTATATGGTCCTGTTCTGTCACTGCAGCAGCACAGAGGTTATAAAGCTGGTTTAACTGGCTACAAGGGGATTCTGACAGTATATAGGAAGTCCTGGATGGCATAGAGCTGACATTGTGATTCTATGCCACCCTCCCTTCCCTTCCACCCACCCGCTATGCCACACCTGTCTAGGAGATGCAGGAGAAGGGGAGCGGTCAGAGTGCCTCTACAATACTTATTTCTCCACCTGCCTGAATGGCTGCTTATGGTTCTAGGCAGCAAGGTGTAATTTAGGAACGCTCTGATCCATCTCTAAGTTACTCCAGGAACCAGCCCTGCCAGCCATAGAATCAGGGAGCTTCAAAGTATTGGTAACTATCCTCTCTGGGTTCTTATGCTGTACCCATCATCATTGTGTATAGGTGTCTTACAAATATATTGATGTAAATACAACCTAGGCATAGCACCCAGATACCACAGTGATTGGCACCTTACATGTCTGTCTGTCTAGGTATTTGTATGTAAATAGGCCTCGATTACCAGTATTTGCTTTGCTAAGTTTTAAAACAACCAATTCAGGACTGAGCAGTGACAGTAAAAAATTGCTTTAAAGAGCTCACTGTACATTTCACAGCGTCTTCGTAGCTTCATGCTTATGAAACTGTTAGCTCCAGGTCAGAGAACTTAAATTCCGCCTGCAGAGTTTATAAGATGTATGAGTCAAATAGTTGAGGATTTTTCCTCCTGCTTATTTCTTCTCAATCAGGGATACTGAGGGCCTATTGAGTCACCCATTGATTTTAGTAGAGATTGAATCAGACCATACGTGCAGAAATTAGCAGCAGCACAGTGTGAAGGTGTGAAAACAAGCACTTGATATTTTGAAACTGAATGGACCAGATTTTCAACCTCTGGTTCAGACAGATTGCTCTGCTCCATGTATTAGACTGCAAGGGGTCGTGGCGGACGAATTTCCGTGCAATAGATGGTCAATGCAGTTGTCCTTATAGGACCATTGCAGCTAGCGTAACTTAGAGCAGTATTTTCTCTATTCTAAATTATGCAGTGGACTGTTTCAGTTCCAGTGCGGCAAGAATTAGAGCTATCTTTCCCACCTTGATACAGCTCATACCTAAGCCCAAGGTTTCTCTGTGTTAACTTGTATATATAGCATTTTATCTCCCTCTGTGCATTTAGTTTATAGACCTGTTTTTCTTCACTAAATAAAAACATTCATGAATTTGTTGGATTTTTGTGCATTACAATCAAATATATGAGATATGCAATTCCCCTTGTGGAAGGAAGCCTTAGCTTTTGGAATTAGGGTTTTTGACTGTTTGATTTCAAAGCCATAATGTTGAACTAATGTCAGCTTTTGGGGGTTTGCTGTTTGTGTTTTTGTGGGGAAGGGGATACATTTAATATGCTGTAGGTTTCATTTGTTTTGAACGTAGTTTGTTTTTCCAGAGAGAAGCAGAAGGATCACTCAGGTTCATTCAGGATAATAGGGCATTTTCAGATTGCCAGTAGGTTTCAGATACCGGGAATTTGGAAAGAGGGGAAAATATAAGGCTAGAAGGTGGCTTCCTTGCAGCTCACAGACATCTACTTTAGAATGCTTTTCAGCACCAATCTAGTCCCAGCTAATGGGGAAGGGACCTCACTGTGTCAAAAGTTAAAACATATTCTTGGGACATTTAGCCACTTTCCCATTTGGAAGATTGCCAAAGGGAATGCTGCAGCCTGAGAATCCTCTGGTGTTCTTAAACTACACAGCAACAATTTACCTAGCAATTGGAAAGGTCTTATGGTTATAGGAGCCTCTTCCCCGCTCCCCGTTCAAACTACAGCCGTTGGTAGCCCTGTCCCTTTTGTTCCACTTACTTATTAATATATCCCACAGGCCCTTTTTTGAATACCCATACCCCTGGAAACTGGGAGAAATGACCGTGTTGTTCAGTGTACTATAAGGGTCCAGGCCCTAATCTGGCAAGAATTTACGCATATGCTTAACTTCACGCACTGTGAGTATTTCTACTGAAGTCAAGGGGACGACTCCGAGCATAAAGTTAAGCACGTGTGCAAATCATTGCAGGATTTGGCCCATAGTCCTTTCTGGATAACTTGTGGAATGGCTTTTACGTTCCTCTACCGCCTTGATTTGAGAACACCTCCCGATGCAACACCTATTGCGTGTCTATGGAACCATGCTGAAAATTCCATTATTGAATTCCCCTTCATGCATGTCCTATTAGATGGTAGCTTTGTTACTGGCTCTGGAAGTCTTGAAAACATAAGGCATTATCTTAATTTTTTTTTCCAGGGAAGGAGTATCCATAATTGGGCCTTTCCCTCACTTTCTGGTCCAGGAATATACAAGTGGTGTCTGTGACTTTCCATAATAATTTTAATTCACTTAAAATTTAATTCCAGTGATTTGTGTAAATTCCTCAGATGAAATAATAAGGACCCCCAGGATATTTCCATGAATGTGAGGGCAGGGCTAAGGTTTGCATTTGTTTAATTTAAAACTCATTGCACAATTTCTGAATATTAATCAAATGGGAAAAACATTTGAAGTAAAATAGTATCTTATTTAAAATCAGA